TCGGGCCCCCCCCAAACTTTGTTCCTAGATCCGCGCCTGCTTCCCACTACTCTCCCACATAGCCACAGTTCCTCCTCTATCTCCCCCCCCACACTCTGACATACACAATACTAACCTAACATACAGAATTACATAGGTTTCCCACTCTGAGGCAATCAGGAAAAAACAAAAATGGGTTGCCAGAGAGCAACAAGAAAAACCAAGGGACAGGAGGAGGAAACTGCAAAGGAAGATTGGGCAGCAGAGCTCACAAAAAGGGAACATGAATGGGAAAAGAAACTAGAAGAATTTAGCATGAGAATGGAAGAGAGGATAGACATGGAAAGCAGGTAGTGGGAGGTGCAAGTCAAAGCAGCAGAGGCCAGGATACAGAGTTTAGAAGAGGAACTGAAAAATCTGAAACAGCCTAAAGAACTAAAGAACATTTTGGGATTGACAACAGAGACTGCTACCTCAGTCACAAATAAGGGGACTGTAGGGAAAGAAGGAGCAAAACAGCATGTAGAAGCTCAATCAGTGGAGACCGTAGTAAATGAAAGAGCTAAGCTATATGTGGAGGCCCTAACAGACCACAGCAGAGCCCAGGGAAAGCCGAGAAGGGAAAATGACAGGCCACTGAGCCCAAGTACATTAGCTAGTGAAACTGAAGAAAGGAAAGCTGCAATGGAGGAAATCAAATTGAATGAGGGGATACACAGGGATATGCAGTGGGAGAATGAAAGGGTGAGATCAGTCTTTGTGTATGGGCTCCAGGAAGTTGAAGGGGAAACATATGAAGCCAGAAAACAAGGAGAAAAGAAAGCAATTGAAAGCATCATGAAAGCAATAGGAGAAGACGACATGACCCAGCTGGAAAATTTTCGAAGAATAGGGGGGTATGTAAAAAGAAGAACCCGGCCAGTGAAAGTGACCTTCAAAGCAGAATCGACTCGGAACAGGATCCTGCAGGAGAAAGCACGATTAAGGGACATGCCGGCATACAGGAAGGTGTATCTCGACCGTGACAGAACACAAGCAGAAAGGCAGAAACAGAGAGAGATGGTACAAAGGCGAAAAAAGGAAAGAGAGGGGATGGAGAAGACAGACAGGAGATCCCAGACACAGGAAGATCAAATACAGCCTCCCTTACAACTTCCTATAGAAGCCTCCCAACCAGGTCAACCCCAGTGCAACCAAACACTCTAAACCAAAACACCCATGCCACATCCAATGCCCCCACCCACTGCATTACAAACTCCACCCCCACAGCAACCACCTATAGTTCCTTATCAGGTCTCCCACTTCCCCAACCCCAATACACCTCCCAGACCACAATCTTAGAAAAGAAGTTGAAGGTGTGGTATACAAATGCAGATGGAATAACAAATAAGTATGAGGAGTGGCACGAAAGAATCAAGAAGACATCCCCAGACATAATAGCACTCACAGAAACAAAACTCACCAGAATAATAACAGATTCAATCTTTCCATCCGGATATCAAATCCTCAGGAAAGACAGAGGGAGGAGAGGGGGAGGAGGAGTTGCACTGCTCATTAAAAACCAGTGGGGGTTTGAGAAAATGGAAGGAATGGATGGCACGGGCGAAAGGGACTACTTAGTAGGAACAATCCAGTCTGAGGGACATAAGGTGATAATTGCAGTAATGTACAACCCACCACAGAACTGCAGGAGGCCAAGAGAAGAATACGATGAGAGCAACAGAGCAATGGTCGACACACTAGCCGAGGTGGCCAGGAGAGCACACATGGGGGGAGCAAAGTTACTAGTTATGGGTGATTTCAATCACAAGGAGATTGACTGGGAAAATCTGGAGCCCCATGGGGGTCCCGAAACATGGAGAGCCAAGATGATGGATGTGGTACTGGAAAACCTCATGCATCAACATGTTAGAGACACTACCAGAGAGAGAGGATGTGAGACCTCTACCCACTCTACCGGAGGTATCCCAGCGAGTGAGCACGAGGATGAACCAGCAAGACTGGACCTTGTATTCACCTTGAGTAGTTCTGACATCAAGGATATCATGTATGAAAGGCCCCTGGGAGCTAGTGATCATGTGGTTTTGTGCTTCGACTACATAGTTGAGCTCCAAGTGGAGAGAGCAGCAGGAATAGGGTGGGAAAAACCAAACTACAAAAGGGGGAACTACTCAGGCTTGAGGAACTTCTTTCAAGACATTCAGTGGGAGAGGGAACTGACAGGAAAACCAGTACAAGAAATGATGGACTATGTGGCAACAAAATGCAAGGAGGCAGAGGAGAGGTTTGTTCCCAAGGGAAACAGAAATAATGGGAAGAACAGAACGAGTCCTTGGTTCACCCAAAGGTGTAGGGAGGCAAAAACTAGGTGTACTAGAGGATGGAAAAGGTACAGAAGACAGAGAACTCAGGAAAATAAAGAGATTAGCTGAAGAGCAGAACGAATATGCACAGATAAGAAGGGAGGCTCAGAGGCAATACGATAATGACATAGCATCGAAAGTCAAGACTGACCCAAAGCTCTTGTACAGCCACATCAGGAGGAAAACAACAGTCAAGGACAGGTAATCAGATGAGGAAGGGTGATGGGGAATTCACAAGAAACGACCGGGAGGTATGTCAGGAGCTCAACACAGATTTAAAGAAGTATTTACAGTGGAAACCAGTAGGACCTCAGGAAATCAGAGCAGGGGGGTGCACCAGCAAGTGCTGGATGAGGTAATTATAACCAAGGAGGAGGTGAAGAAGCTGCTTTGCGAACTTGACACCTCAAAGGCGGTGGGACCAGACAACATCTCTCCGTGGGTCCTTAAAGAGTGAGCAGAGACATTGTGTGTACCATTAACAAAAGATCTTCAACACATCATTTGAAAACTGGGAACTCCCGAGGTATGGAAGATGGCAAATGTAGTCCCAATTTTTAAAAAGGAGACAGACATGAGGCACTAAACTACAGACCTGTATCACTACGTGTATAGTATGCAAGGTCATGGAGAAGATCTCAGGAGGAGAGTGGTGGAGCACCTGGAAAGAAACAGTGTATAATTGACAACCAGCATGGTTTCAGGGAGGGAAAATCCTGTGTCCACAAACCTATTAGAGTTTTATGACAAGGTGACAGAAGTAAGACAAGAGAGAAAGGGGTGGATCGACTGCATTTTTTGGACTGCAAGAGGCCTTTGACACAGTTCCTCACAAGAGGTTACTGCAAAAGCTAGAGGATCAGGCACACATAACAGGAAAGGCACTGCAAATGGATAAGAGATACCTTATAGGGAGGCAACAACGAGTCATGGTACGTGACGAAGTGTCAAAGTGGGCGCCTGTGACAAGCGGGGTTCCACAGGGGTCAGTCCTAGGACTGTGCTGTTCTTGGTATATGTGAATGACATAACAGAAGGGATTGACTCAGGAAGTGTCCTTGTTTGCGGACAATGTGAAGTTAATGAGAAGAATCAAAATCGGATGAGGATCAGGCAGGACTACAAAGAGACCTGGACAGGCTTACAAGCCTGGTCCAGCAACTGGCTCCTTGAGTTTAACCGCCAAAATGCAAAGTCATGAAGATTGAGGAAGGGCAAAGAAGGACCGCAGACACAATATAGTTTAGATGGCCAAAGTCTGGCAAACCTCACTCAAGGAAAAAGATCTGGGGGTGAGTATAACACCGAGCATATCTCCTGAGGCGCACATCAATCAGATAACTGCTGCAGCATACGGGCGCCTGGCAAACCTACAGGATAGCATTCCGAATACCTCAGTAAGGGAGTCGTTCAAGACTCTGTATACCATTTACGTCAGGCCCATACTGGAGTATGCAGCACCAGTTTGGAATCCACACCTAGTCAAGCACGTCAAGAAATCAGAGAAAGTGCAAAGGTTTGCAACAAGACTAGTGCCAGAGCTACGGGGATTGTCCTACGAAGAAAGGTTGAGGGAAATCGGCCTGACGACACTGGAGGCCAGGAGGGTCAGGGGAGACATGATAACGACATATAAAATACTGTGCGGAATAGACGAGGTGGACAAAGACGGGATGTTCCAGAGATGGGACACAGACACAAGAGGTCACAATTGGAAGTTGAAAACTCAGATGAATCAAAGGGATGTTAGGAAGTATTTCTTCAGTCATAGAGTAGTCAAGCTGTGGAATAGCCTAGAAAGTGAAGTAGTGGAGGCGGGAACCATACATAGTTTTAAGGCGAGGTATGATAAAGCTCATGGAGCAGGGAGAGAGAGGACCTAGTAGCAATCAGTGAAGAGGCGGGGCCAGGAGCTATGACTCGACCCCTGCAACCACAAATAGGTGAGTACAAATAGGTGAGTACTCTCACTCTCACTCTCACACACACTCTCTCTCTCTCTCTCTCTCTCTCTCTCTCTCTCTCTCACTTGGTCTGCCTACAGTCTGCATGACCACTACCATTGTTATATTTATGAGAAAGTGCAAAGCCCATGAGGGACACTGTGCCTGGGGAATGGAAGGCAATCAGGGTTGATCCAAGGAAGGGGAAAGCAGCTTCAATTACTCAGAATAACAGCACTTCACCAGCATCAAGACACCCTTGAAGATGACCAGTCCCATGGGATTCTGCCACTGAGTAGCAGGTGCCTCCTTCAGTTTTATGGTGCTTTTGGTACAGTCCCTAGTGGGCCTACTTACAGGATGCAACCAAAGAAAAACACATTTCAACTTGAAAAATGCATTTCTTGCAAGGAGCTCTATGAAGCCCACAGTTTCCTCTACCTTCCCAAGCTGTTAAGTTTTAAATGCTGACTGGAGTTCAGAGTTTTATGAAGTTCCCAGGAAATCCTGGCCATATTTAGCCAATTTTTAGCCACAGAAGGTGCAGGGGGCCACTTGCCAAGCCTAATGTGTGTGATAATCCTTGCTGGGGTCAGAGAAGTGAATACTGATGTGAATGAGGGATGATATATTCACATAAAAGGATACTAATATATCTTTGCACATTTCCCATCACTATCTATATACAACAAACATAAATTGAAACATTTCTTACATATTCGATAAGCTCGTCTCGCTCTAGTTCCATATCTACGGACCAGCTACTCATATCATGTTGGGTCTTCTGACTTAAAGTCACGACAGAAAGTGGTCCATCTTTCAATTTATGCCCAGGGAACAAATCCAGGAAATCTGAAAATATAATATATGAATATTAAATACACAAATAACATTAGACATGGAAGCAAAGAGGGGAATGTATGAAAATGTAGTGGTATCAGTACTCTTATATGGGTGTGATGCATGGGTGGTGAATGTTGCAACAAGGAGAAGGCTGGAGGCTGTGGAGATGTCGTGTCTGAGGGCAATGTGCGGTGTGAATATAATGCAGAGAATCTGTAGCTTGGAGATCAGAACGAGGTGCAGGGTTTCTAAAAGTATTATCCAGAGGGCAGAAGGGAGGCATATAAATCTGCAGTGGAAGGAAGACAGGGTAGGAGTTGTCCTAGGAAAGGCTGGAGGGAGGGGATAAAGGTAGTTTTACATGCAAAGGGCTTGGATTCCCACCAAATGTGCATGAGTGTGTTAGATAGGAGCAAATGGAGATGAATGGTTTTTATGATTTGACATGCTATTGGAGTGTGAGCATAGTAACATTTATGAAGAGATTCAGGGAAACTGGCAGCTGGACTTGAGTCCTGGAGGTGTTGATATGTTGCTGATTTTTAACTGTATTGCAGACACACCTCCAGCAAGGCAGTAATGGAGTAAATGATGATTAAAGTGTTTCCTCTTTTTTGGGTCACCCTGCCTTGGTGAATAAATGGTAGATGTGTTAATAAAGAAACTATATAAAATAATGTGCTTATAGGAGTTAATTTTTCTTAAGTGGACAGGCAGCTGACCTTGCTTTTCACCAGATTCAGTCCCCAATGCTCATGTTCAATTTTGAATAATGCACATGTAATTCAAATACCCAGGCAAAGACACCAGAATTTACTTTTATATGTGAATAGGATGATGGAACATACTCTTCTATAACTTCCTAAGAAACAGAACATAAAGAGTAATAGTAAACAGAGTAAAGTCAGAGGCTGCTACAGTGAAAATCTCTGTTCCCCAAGGTACAGTACTCACTCCCATCCTCTTCCTCATCCCCATATCTGACATAAACAGAGATGTAAGCCACAGCACCATGTCCTCCTTTGTTTATGATACCCAAATTTTCATGACAGTGTCATCCATGAAAGACACTGAAAAATCTCCAAGTGGACATTAACCAAATCTTTAAATAAGCTGCAGAAAACAATATGAAGTTCAATGAAAACAAATTTCAAATACTCTGTTATAGAAAACTCAGGGAAATATAAACTGAATCTGACTATAAAACAAATTCCATCCACACAACAGAGCAAAAAACTAATGTGAAGGACCTGGGAGTGATAATGACAGAAAATTTCCCTTTCAAATATCACAGAAATGTATCTACCACATCTGCTAGAAAATGACAGGATGGACAGTGAGAACCTTCAACAATAGAGATGCCAAGATTATGATTTTCTTTAAATCATTTGTTCCCTCTAGGTTGGAATATTGCTGAACCCTAACAGCCCCTTTCAAGGCAGGCAAAACTGTCAGTAGTACTGTACTGTAGTACAGTGGACCCTCGCCTAACGCTATTAATCCATTCCTGAGAGCTCAACGTAAGGCGAAATTATCGTTAGGTGAATTAATTTTCCCCATAAGAAATAATGGAAATCAAATTAATCCGATCCTGACACCCCAAAGTATGAACAAAAAAAAAATTTTACCACATGAAATATTAATTTTAATACACACAAACTGAAGAAGACATGCACAGTTACATGACACTTACCTTTATTGAAGATCTGGTGATGATTGATGGGATGGGAGGAGGGGAGAGTGTTGATGGTGTTAGTGTTTAGAAGGGCAATCCCCTTCCATTAGGACTTGAGGTGGCAAGTCCTTTTCCGGGTTACTTCCCTTCTTCTTTTAATGCCACTAGGACCAGCTTGAGAGTCACTGGACTCTGTCGCACAACATATCTGTCCATAGAGACCTGTACCTCCTGTTCCTTTATGACATTCCTAAAGTGTTTCACAACATTGTCAGTGTAATAGTCACCAGCACGGCTTGCAATAGCTGTGTCAGGGTGATTTTCATCAAAAAAGGTTTGCACTTTAAGCCACATTGCACATATTTCCTTAATCTTTGAAGTAGGCAACTTCCTCAATTTCTCTATCCCCTCCTCTGAAGCAGTTTCCTCAGGTGTGGCCTCTTGCTGTTGAAGATGATCTAGCAGCTCATCAGTGGTTAGTTCTTCATTGTCCTCCTCCACCAACTCTTCCATATCCTCCCCACTAACCTCCAACCCCAAGGACTTCCCCATTGCCACAATGGATTCCTCAACTGGCATAGGATTCCCAGGGTTAGCCTCAAACCCTTCAAAATCCCTTTTGTCTACACATTATGGCCACAGTTTCTTCCAAGCAGAGTTCAAGGTCCTCTTAGTCACTTCCTCCCAAGCCTTACCTATAATGTTTACACAATTGAGGATGCTAAAGTGATCTCTCCAAAACTCTCTTAGAGACAACTGAGTTTCTGAGGTCACTACAAAGCACCTTTCAAACATAGCTTTTGTGTACAGTTTCTTGAAGTTGGAAATGACCTGCTGGTCCATGGGCTGCAGGAGAGGATTGGTATTAGGAGGCAAAAACTTGACCTTAATGAAGCTCATTTCCGCAGAAAGTCGCTCTGCCACGTCTGAAGGATGACCAGGAGCATTGTCTAATACCAGGAGGCACTTAAGGTCTAATTTTTTTTCAATTAGGTAATTTTTCACAGTGGGGGCAAATGCATGGTGTAACCAGTCATAGAAAAAGTCCCTAGTGACCCATGCCTTAGTGTTTGCCCTCCACAGCACACACAAATTAGCCTTGAACACTCTGGGAGCTTCAGAGTGATACACCAATAAAGGCTTCACTTTGCAATCACCACTAGCATTGGCACACATCAACAGAGTAAGCCCGTCTTTCATAGGCTTATGTCCTGGGAGTGCCTTTTCCTCCTGAGTAATCTACTTCCTGTTTGGCATTTTCTTCCAAAACAGGCCTGTTTCGTCACAATTAAACACCTGTTCGGTTTCAGTACTTCACTGTCTATGTACTCCTTGAATTCCTGCACATATTTTTCAGCCGCTTTGTGGTCCGAACTGGCAGCCTCACCATGCCTTATCACGCTATGTATGCCACTATGATTCTTAAAACTTTCAAACCAACCTTTGCTGGCCTTAAATTCACTCACATCATCACTAGTTTACCTGGAGAGAGTTTACCTGGAGAGAGTTTCGGGGGTCAATGCCCCCGCGGCCCGGTCTGTGACCAGGCCTCCTGGTGGATTAGCGCCTCATCAACCAGGCTGTTGCTGCTGGCTGCACGCAAACCAACGTACGAGCCACAGCCCGGCTGATCAGGAACTGACTTTAGGTGCTTGTCCAGTGCCAGCTTGAAGACTGCCAGGGGTCTGTTGGTAATCCCCCTTATGTGTGCTGGGAGGCAGTTGAACAGTCTCGGGCCCCTGACACTCATTGTATGGTCTCTCAACGTGCTAGTGACACCCCTGCTTTTCATTGGGGGGATGGTGCATCGTCTGCCAAGTCTTTTGCTTTCGTAGTGAGTGATTTTCGCGTGCAAGTTCGGTACTAGTCCCTCTAGGATTTTCCAGGTGTATATAATCATGTATCTCTCCCTCCTGTGTTCCAGGGAATACAGGTTTAGAAACCTCAAGCGCTCCCAGTAATTGAGGTGTTTTATCTCCGTTATGCGCGCCGTGAAAGTTCTCTGTACATTTTCTAGTTGCAGGCATTTTTCTAATTAAATCCTCATGCAACTTCCTAGCCTTTTCACATATGATCGCTTGAGAGATGCTGTCTCCTGCTATCTGTTTTTTGTTTATCCACACCAATAACAGTCTCTCAACATCTTCTATCACTTGCGATCTCTGTTTCGAAAACAAAGTTGCATCTTGGCAAGAACAGCTTCCTTGTTTGCCGTTTTCTTGGCCACAATAGTAGCGATGGTTGACTGGGGTTTTGTGTACAACCTGGCCAGCTCGGAGACACACACTCCACTTTCATACTTAGCAATGATCTCTTTCTTCATATCCATAGTAATTCTCACTCTTTTTGCTGTAGGGTTGGCACTAGAAGCTTTCTTGGGGCCCATGGTGACTTATTTTGCAGGTGCAATCACTAAAAAGGCTGTGATATGAAATGTTCCGACTGTATGCTTGGAAGCGACCACGGTGGCTGGCTTGTAAACACTGGCACCCATGGAACAAGTGAGGCGGGCTCAGGCTGCACGTGGATGCATCTCGAACGAACCGTGTTGAGCGAATTTTTTAGCGCTAGCCGAGGCAAAATTTTTGCATTAAAATGTATCGCTAGGCGGATTTAACATTATGCGATGCGTTCGTTAGGAGAGGTTCCACTGTATTTCAGTTAGCCCTGAGTCACCGCCTTCCGTGACTATGTGGCTAAGCTGTTACTGAGTCATTGTTGCTAACCATAGCAAACTAATTTGAACTGCGACGCCCTGGGCGTCATCTCAGTTCAAGACAGGTTAGCAGAGGAGACAGGTCAAGTCTGGGTGCTCTCCATTATCATTGTAATATACGCTACCGAGACAACCTATGAGTGTGTTTATTACTCAAAATCTACCACTGAACTCCTACAACAAAACTGCAGACCTTGAGAATATGCAGTGAACTTTCACAGCATGTATAAACACAATAAAGCACCTAAATGGAAGTCCCTTGATTTAAAGTTCCTTGATTTGTACTCCCTGGAATGCAGGCGAGAAGGGTACACGATAATATACACTTGGAAATTCCTAGAGGGACTAGTCCCAAATCTCCCTACGAAAGCAAAAGACCTGGCAGGCAGTGCAACATCCCCCCAATAAAAAGCAGGGGTGCCACATGTAAGCTAAGAGACAACACAATAAATTTATTAATGTTGGTAGAATTACCGACAATACGTTAGGTAAAAGGACACAAGTGCAACTAATGTGACAACCTTTCGCTTTATCAAGATGTTACGGCTTTATCAAGCCATAACGGCTTGATAAAGCTCTTGGAGAGCAAAACGTTGCCACAAAAAAATGTCACATTAG